AGCAGCTGCGGAGGTGTCCAAGGTGGAGAGGATGGAATCGCAGGTTTGAGGGGGAGGATCCCCTGTTCTGAGTAAGCTTGTATGTTTTCCTTCAGAAGGTTTAAGTGTTGGTTTTACTCTTGTCTGAGGTTTATGCTTGCTCTGGCATCTTATCAGTGTCAGTTTCAGAAAGGTTTTAACAGCGAGGGCCTGCGCAAAAATTGGTAGTTCTGTCTCTGAGCCTACACCCCGTTGAGTCCTTATTGAAGAGCGTGTCCCGTAATTCAGGTAGGATGTGCAACTCCCACAAAAGTGTTTGAAGTAAAATACTATAAGGGCTTGCTTTACCAAGAAATTCTGCATCCAAGCTTTTGATATTTAGAAGTTAAAATCTGGTCAGCTATTGCCACTTGAGTGGTATTTGGGATAAGCGATTCTTAAAGTTAATTCCTTGTTTCCGGAAGAATTTACTGCAAACAAGGTTAAATAATTACAGGATGCAGATGAGCTGAATAATTTTTCAATTTCTTGATGCCTGCTTCTGGTGGCACACTTGGCTGACTCAGTCACCTTGAATACCTGCCTAAAAAACATGGGAACAAAACTTCATTTTTTCAGAATATCCTTTAAATTCACAAAAACACATCAGCAAGGTTATCTGATCATGGAGAGGTGGTTTTCTCCCTAGGGATTTTAACAGCACTTGGGGAGTGCTTGTTGAAGATACTAGTAAATAGGACCTCATGGGGACTGAATTTGGACTTGTGGTCTAAGATTGCCTCATCTGATCATGCATGATAAATGATAAATGCAGGTAGCCACAATTCCAGGTTTATTGCGTGTTCTACCTTTTAGGCTGTCCAGTCCTAGCAGTAAAAAAAAATTTTTTTTTTTTTTTAGCCTGCTCTCCTAATAGAGCTGTATTTATAAACAAGGGGTGTGTACTGTTGCTTTGTGTATTTTAAAATGACATTTAAAAAAGACAATACACATTTCCTTTTCTTATTTATATACTCCCTGTACCCTCCTTCATGGACCCCTGTTTTTTGTCATGAAGCAAGCAATACAACTAAATAGAAATAATTGCTCATTTGAGTGTCTGTTGACTTCACTCACCTTGACTTCACCTGTAGTAAAAGTTGTCAGACCTTGGCCAACATGCCTAAGAATTTTAGATTATTAATTGGAAAACGATGGGACTAAGTAGAAATTAATGAAGGTTCTTAACTGAAATGAAGCAAAAACCAGATAAGAATGTTCACTGTATATATTGGGACTTGAGGTAGCCAATGGAACTTTATTTTCCCACAACCAGGATCAAATCCAAGATATTAACCCTACACTTTAAGAAAGACTCTGAACTTTAGGTAGTAAGACCATGATATCTTATTCTTGATTTAATTGTGGTCATTTGAAGAGATTTTAATGCTAGGGTGTCCTTTTTTTATATAAGACATTTATTTAAAAAATGTTTTCTCTTAGCCTTTTGAGCCTGTATTCAACAAGTATTTCTTGAGCACCACCAGTATATGCCTAGCCTTGCACTAGATGCTGGGCATGTGGAAATGAAGACAGAGTCCTGCCTCTGGGTCTCTAGGGAGACACACTGTAGAGTTGGTATTGACAAAGAAACCAGGACACAAATTGGACAGAAGCACAAAGAAAAGAGAAAGCAAGGACCATTTAGAGGACAGATGGTGATTCAGTATTGTTGAGGTGTGAACTATAAGGGAGCAGGGGCTAGACTAGAGGAGGGTTAATACCTTGGATTTGATTTCGTTTGTGGGAGCCACAGAAGAATTTTCAACAAGAGGCTGTGACACACTCAGAAGTGAGTGTTAGATTGCTCTGGAGACAGTGGTTGGAGGGAACATTACTAAAGCAGAGCAGACTAGTGTCCCTGAGACATGATGTCAGCCTAAGGTAATTCTGTGGCATTGGGATGGAGAGGGATGGTGGGTATAAATTTTTTCCCCCCGGGTGCGGATAGAATTGTCACATATCAATGATTGAACGGATTTGGAGCAAGGGTGAAACATCTGTAAATATTTTGGAGTGTAGACCTTCACTGAGGAAATGGGAGTGAATAATTTAATTTGGGGGACCAGGGAGGAATATCTGGTTGTACATATGTGGTGGTAGTGGGGAGGAGGGATGACATGAGGGTTAGGAAAATTCTTGACATGTTTATTTTCCCAAATGAAAAAATTTGACTTTTGTTTTACTCATTCTCACATTATGAGTTTTCAGTGTGTTACTGATTTGAATGAACATTACTTGAATTTAAAAAATGTTACCACTTAGTGTTTGTTTTAAAAAAATATATTTTTATTGATTTTAGAGAGGAAGGGAGATGGAGAGAGACATAAAAATATCAATGATGAGAGCATCATTGATCGTCTGCCTCCTGCACGCCCGTTACTGGGGATTGAGCCTGCAACCCAGGCTTGTGGCCTGTCTTGGAATCAAACCATGATCTCCTGGTTCATAGGTTGACTCTCAATCACTGAGCCACACCAGGTGGACTCAGTGGGTTTTTTTTTGTTTGTTTTTTTTAAAGATCCATTCTCTGCAGTAGTGGCTTTCAAACTTCAGTGTCATCAGAATCACTTGGAGGTCCTATTAAAACAAGATTGCTCAGCCCCGTTCCTGGAGCTCCTGATTCCTAGATCTGGGACAGCCTGAGAATCTGTAATTCTAACAAGTTCCCAAATAATGTTGTTGGCCCAAGGATCACACTTTGAGTATTACTGCTCTTCACTTTTTCTGCTGCTTCCTGCTTGAATGATTCACATGCGGGGAAACAAGGCGCCACCCTGCTTCCTGTTGACTGAACTCTGGAATAGTATTTGTCCACATAGGAGCAGACTTTCATCTAGGGTTGAATATCCAGGTTTGAAATAAATTTATTTTTTTGCCTATTGTAGGTGCTCAAATGTTTGTGGAAGGAACAAAAGCATAAATGACAGTGTAAAATGTAAAATGTGTAAATTTTAGAGGCAATTACTTGCTCAGTATAAAATCAAAATTGATAATCTGTTAGGAGTTGTCTTTAAGACCATTTGGCTCCTTTCACTTGGTTCATTTTCCTTCATGGATATCTCTTCACTTTAAGAGCTACTTTCTTGGCTTGCTTTAGTTGAAGGATTTAAAAAAACAACACCACAGTTTTTTAGTTCTTTTTATTATCTCCAAATTTCCTCTTCTTACAGTTTTAACAGTTTGATGATTTACTCTTTGTTTTTCAAGCCAAAGGGCTCATTTTTCAAAACCTCGCCTACTATGTTCAGCCTAGTACTTTGCTTGGCAAGATGAATCAGACTAAGGTAAAAGAGCCCTTTCCTATCTTTGGGTACAAAAATGGGCCCAGCCCTTGCCGGTTTGGCTCAGTGGATAGAGTGTCCGTCTGCAGACTGAAGGGTCCCGAGTTTGATCCCGGCCAAGGGCACATGACCAGGTTGTGGGCTCAGTTCCCAGTGGGAGGCGTGCAGGAAGCAACCAATCAGCGATTTTCTCTCATTGATGTTTCTATCTCTCTCCCTTCCCTTTCCTCTCTGAAATCAATAAAAATATGTAAAGAAAATGGGCATGAACGTCACTGAAGTTGGAGTCTTTAATATAGAGTTTTTAGTGACTGCAGTTGGTGATGTATTGTCAGAAGGCATTTTACCATTCTACATATCCCATTGTTATTGCTGAGTTGACTGTAGAGATTAGCTTTAAAGACTCATAAAAATATAAGTGGTGTATGCAAAATAAAAAGATAAGATGAACATGATTATGATTGTTGAGATGATCCCAGGTGGTGTTAAATTAGTTCTTTAAAAATTGAGTAAAACACTTATGTTCACTTTCTACCAAATAGATAATTATCTGGGGAAATTGTGAAGTGTCCATTATTAAAGATATGCTTGGAGTAGATATCCATTATGGGTTGGAAGGAAGCTTTCTTCTTGCTGTAGTACTGGAGTGAAACAGATGACTCACTAGCTCAAGGCTGCCTGTGTGGCTTTAAAAACAGTTGAAAGTAATGCTATATGGACTTAAAATTTTTTTTTGGTTATCAAATGATCTTTAACTGAAATATTTTCCTTTGTGGTTCTTTATTTTATTGATTTTGGAGAGAGGGGGAGGGAAGAGAGAAATAAATATCAATTTATTGTTCCACTTATGCATTCATCAGTTGATTCTTGTATGTGCCCAGAATGGGCATCAAACCTCCAACCTTGCCATATTGGGATGACACTTTAACCAACTGAGCTACCCAACCAGAACCTTCCTTTGTAGTTCTTAACTAGCTGGGCATTCCACTGCACCACTGTTGATGTCATCTATGATGTTGTGAGGGTGGTGGCCATCAACATTTCAGTCCACAGATTGGGCAGTCCCCAGGATCTCTTTAAGATTCCAGAGCGTTCTCTAGCTAAAGATTGGGCAATGTTGACAATCTCATCAAAAGTGGTATTTTCACTGTGCTTAATGTTTAATTGCTTCTTTCTGCGTCTTGCTTTGATGATCAGGGCAGAGGCAGAAGGTACTACTCAATCTGGGCCTCTCTGTTCTGAATGGTCAGTTTCATTGTAGTCCTCAGACCCTTCAAATCACCAGTTGCTTTGGTGATGCCATCACCAACCTTTTTTGAAGTCAGACCCAGGGAGTCTACCTTGGGGACCAGGACAGACATGGCACCGACTTCCTCACTGGTGTAATTCAAGTATATGATTGTGATCTTGTTGGGGTTGAACTTTGGCAGCATGGGGCAGATGGCTGGTATTAGATGAACCTGGATTCTGGGTGACTGAAGAAAGGCTTATAGGCTTCCTCCGAGTCAAAACCTGAAAGGGTATATGGACTTTTTAAAAGTAAAGATTTAAAAAAGCAAACATGTAGACAGCGTTTCCACAGAAGTGCCTGGCTAAAGGTTTGCGTGAACCTTCACTGATGTTACTGAGTTTTTCTGAGGAACTGTGAGATGGTCTCATTTCAGGCATTTCCTAATTCTGGCTCCAGGTTTCTCCATGATACAGTTTTAGCAGTTTTGTGAAAAGAGAACAAGATTGTTTTATGGTTCGTAATACTTTGTTCTAAATTTTTAAGCATGCTATGACTTCTTAGTGGACACGATTCATTCAGCTTAGCCAGTTTTGTCTTGAAGTGGCTTTGTGATGATAGGATAGGTATGCTTTTTGACACATCTTGAGGCAATTGTAGTGACCTAGTTGAATTTATAGTAGTCCAAATATGACTAGTTTTTGAAACTGGCTTCATTTCTGCAGGCAGCACTACAGTTATTTCAGAACTGGCATGTCCTCTGGTTCCTCCGGCAGTGTGAAGTAGGTGCAGGCACTGCAGTTGCTCGGTCTCTGTCTAGCCTGAGCCCCTGTACTTTAGGGCTTTTGTTTTTTCCCTGGTGGTTTTAGTTTGACTATGTTTAGATGTATTTCTTAATTATGTCAAGAAGAAAAAAACCACTATTAGAAGCATGGTGGAATGGGAAAGAATATTGGGTGTCTCAAAACTTCTTAATTTATGATTCAAGAAACTAACTTAGGAAATCTCTGTAAACTACTAATATTTGAAATCATTAAAAAAAAACCCACACCAAACACCCCACCTTTTCAAAATATCCCATAAAACATCCTCTGGGAGAAAAGTCAAGTCCGTGATGACTCACTCTCTGCGTACTGGAATAAGGAACGTGCATCGATACTAGGACAGTATTCCTGATGAATACTGGAGTGGGGGCATTCTGCTGCAGCATTCTATTTTGACTTCAACCAACAATTGAAATGTTCCCCCCCTTTCATTGCAGGTGCCTCTTCTATTATAATTGAACTCAGCTATTCCCTGTTCAAATCAAAATCTCAAATTTCTCTCTGGCAGATTGCCGAGTACTATTAGTTCATATGTGCTGCCTAATTAGTGGTGTTCTTGTGTTTTTCCTCCCATATTTGAAAATAGTCACAGATGGGCAATGCCCTCAGGGATTCAGGTGGGCTGCATTTGGCCTTATGGTGTTTCTGTAGTAACTTACCTTTCTTAATACTGGTTTAGACTTTTGAAACATTGGAACAGTTGGCAGTCGCTGTAGACTTTTTCCCAGCATAATTAATGTTGGCCTGCTGTTAGGTACATGCAAGTTTATTCTCATTTGATTTTGTCATTTCAAATATTTTAATGCAATTTATTCTTTAACTAGGTACATGTGAAGATTTCTTGGCTGTGTAGAGTGGAAACCATTGATTGTCGTGCCCTCATTTCTGCCTGTTCTGTGTTGGCAAGAGAGAGTGCCCAAATGAGCAAGATATCGCAGCAGAACAGTACTCCAGGAGTGAATGGAATAAGTGTTATTCATACTCCGGCTCATGCCAGCGGCTTACAGCAGGTTCCTCAGCTGGTGCCCGCTGGCCCTGGGGGAGGAGGTAAGGCTGTGCCTCCAAGCAAGCAAAGTAAAAAGAGTTCACCCATGGATCGAAACAGTGATGAGTATCGTCAACGCAGAGAGAGGAACAACATGGCTGTGAAAAAGAGCAGGTTGAAAAGCAAGCAGAAAGCACAGGATACCCTGCAGAGAGTGAATCAGCTCAAAGAAGAGAATGAACGGTTGGAAGCAAAAATTAAATTGCTGACTAAGGAATTAAGTGTACTGAAAGATTTGTTTCTTGAGCATGCGCACAACCTTGCAGACAACGTGCAACCTAGTAGCACTGAAAATATGACAAGTTCTGATAATGCAGGACAGTAGACTGCACCTCTTCCCAACTTCACAACTTGTGGCTTGAACATGAAAGGTGTCGACAACCTGCACCACTCATATCAATGGCTGAACATTGTCTTGTTCCATTACCCAAAAGATCCATTGGAGGTTGTTTTCTAGGATCAGCACTGAAGAGTTAATTAGCTAAAATTGTTAGCCATGTAGTTAAAATTTCTGGTTTTAAATGATATTGGGATAAAGAAACACATTTTTAAGGTATATGGTAAAAAAAAAAATCCCAGACCTGGATGTTCTTAATAAATCCTGACTTCCCAAGAAATGCTTTTTTTTAAAGGTTGAAAAAAGGAATGAGGAATTGGCAGGTCATTCAGAAGGTTCTGGATTTTAATGGAAATGGTTAATTGGATTAAGAAAAAAATTGAATGCTGTTTGTGATAATCTATTTATGCTTTCATTCTAAATTATGTATTAAAAATCCTTAGGGCTGTAGAAACCAACCACTTTGTAATTTGGAATGGTGTTATGCATAAACCCTGGTTTAGCATAGGTAGTACTGTTTCCCCAACAAGTACAAGTTTTTGAGTAGCAGTGTCAGGTTAAGTAAAGAAACCCCATTGCATTTTAAAGGCAGTATGTAGCCATTTGGTTTAAAAATATAACACTTAGGGAGCAAATAGGTTTTTAAGAAATAAAAGTAAAGAATATTAGAATTATGCTTTTGGGATACCCTTTGGGTTATTGGATTGGCATTTTTTAGTATTTTTATAAACACCACCAAACAACAGTAGTTTAGAGAAACCTATGTACTAAAATTTTAGTTTTGGCAGATGCTAGTAAAGGAAGCATTTTTAAAAAAATACCATTTTGACAGCCAAATTAGTATAGATAAAGTCCTAGTAGTTTGATCACAGAAGCTACTGATTAGTATTTGGAAATAACAATTCAGCAGGTATCTTCACCTGTTTTGAAATATCTGCCATGTGGCCTTGAGTTTTAAAGGCAAAAACTTCTTGGAAGGATTATTTGAACTTAACCAAGTGATTATTAGAAAAATGCATCATCAACTCCCAAAACTATAGTCTAAGAAAACTTGAAAGTATAAGGTTTAACCTTTAATTTATTTCACTTAAATGCATCTTTTTATATTTTTGTGATATTTCTTTTTCTAGTTAGTGAACTGTTCTTCCACACTTTTTGTACCACTGCTTCTGTTTAGTTATTTGTATACTTTTATATCCCATAAATTATTTTAGAAAGAAAATACTGATAAAACTCAGGATATTGACATTTTTATTGAGACTAAAAAATGGCAGTTACTCAAGTCGGGAATCTCTAGTCTGGTTTGTATTAATGTTGGTAGTTTTTTATTGTCCTTGTCGACTTTTTTTTTTAATCAGCACAATTCTAGCTAAACTATTTTGGCTCTTTTGAGTTATTTTTTCTCTGTGTGTGTGTGTGTGTGTTTGTGTTTGAGTGTGTGTACACGTACCTGGGCTCGTGACAAGAGACTGAGTCCTGTCTGATTACAAAGTTAGTGTTACCAGGTATCTCATTTGAACTTGGTTATTTTTGACCACATTGCTGTTTCATACTAGGACCTGGGACAATGTAACCAGCATGTAACTCAAGTTGTCCCCTTGGATTGATGGATAAGTGCTGTCTGTGCTCTTCTCCTGGGCAGAAGACATCACAGTGCTCTGAAACTCAGCAATTAATAAGGCCATGAGTCCTTTTGCAAGTGACAGGAGCCTACTGTTGTTCCATGAGAGCCACTGTCCCAAGAGGGTTTACTCCCTATAGAGCCAGGAGACAGAATAGGGGCTTCCATTAGGGTCCAACACCAGTTTACTTTGGGTTGGAGTAGTGACCTACTGGTAATGGGTGTTTTGAATAATGAACTAGGACAGAGGTCACCAACCAGTGATCTGTGGACCACTGGTTGTCTGTGAGGTCGGAAAGGTTGGTGACCGCTGATCTAGGAGATACCCACAGATCCTACTGAATCTTTAATAGCTGATCAATGTTATATAATTAACCTAATTGGAGATGCAGTTAGGTCACTTGAATCCTTAAGCACCTATAATAGGTGTTACAGACATTTTAATCTCTTATTTACTAAAAAATATCTTTCAGAAATTGATGTCACCATGGAATTAATGGTTACCAGTTATATGAATTGACTTAACTCTCTTAGAAAGAAGCTTTAGGAAAATCATTAGGAGTGTGTACTCAATATTTCAAATCAGAACCAAAAATTGGAAATTTGGAAGAATGGGTTCAAGCTTTCTTGTTACCTATGCAAAATTAAAACTTGAGCACAAGCAGTCCTTTGTGCATAGGACAAAAATGTTAACCATTGTCAACTATGTTACTGAAGTGTTTGGGAATGAAAGTTTTTAGTTTGATAGGTTTATCAGTATAAAACTGAGGTTAATCAAGTATAGGGAATGGTAAGTTTAGAGCTTTGGGAACTATAAAGTGACTTTTGTAATGTTTGTTTTGTAGGTTACATGTGAACCATTAGGATTTGATCTGCCTTTGCTGGCAGGTCCTGTCATTTAGGAATTAGGCTTCAGTATATAAATTTCTAGCTGTACCCTGAGTCCCCCAGAATGGGTGCTTTCTGATTGGTCTTGGCTGCAGGTGGTGAGATCAAGAGCAGCTCTTTCTGGTGTCTGGCCCCTTTCAGTTTTTTGGGGTGTGAGCTAAGATACTTTGGACATTCTTACTAAGAAGTGGTAAGATTTTAATAAAATATGACCGGAAAATGGTCACATGACCAGTCATGAATGTGAAAGTCTCATATTTACATTAAAAAGTAGAAGTATGTACAATATAATATTTGATGATAAAGGAAATCGTAGTTTTTGGTATTTCTTAATCCCCAGTAGAGGGTTTGAAGCTATGAACCTGAACAACCCAATTAGCACTCAAGTGCTTTTTGATGCCTTAGAAATAGGGGAAAAAAATTTTGTTTGACAAAAGCTAGAAAGGAGAAAGTCCATTCTACAGCTGTTAGACCTGCCTCTCAGGAAAAAGTACTTAACTTGTTCTTTTTGTTCCTGGCTTTCCTCAGTTTGTGAGAATACTCTATTTTTTTAAATATAATTTTATTTCTTTCAATGAATTTGAAATAAAAAAACTTTGGAATAATGACTATTTCATTGTGGGTTTCTTTATACCAAGAAAATGTCCAAATGTTAAACAGCTCTGAAGAGCAGGCAGGTATCCTGCTGTCTCCTGTTCCCAGCCTAGGGAAGGGCTAGGGTGGGGGTGGGAGGGACAAGCAGGGGTGTTTTGCCCAAGATTAGATTTCGCTTAATGGATAGGAATATAGTTTCCTGTGAATGCCTCTTTAGTTATATTCTTTATCACCTAGTC